AAAGAAAGAAAGAAAGAAAGAAAGAAAGAAAGAAAGAAAGAAAGAAAGAAAGAAAGAAAGAAAGAAAGAAAGAAAGAAAGAAAGAAAGAAAGAAAAAGAAAGAAAGTAAAAGAAAGTAAAATAAATAAATAAATAAATAAATAAACAAGAAAGTGATGCTTCCGCAGAGCAGATCTTCCAAAGACGCCTTCCTCAGACATTGCTGCTGGGGGCTAGCCCAGCCAGGCAAAGTTGTCAGCCTCGTATCATTTGGAGGGCGGTTTCAGTCCTCTCTAATAAATAACTTTTTGATTTGAACCAAGGGAGAGGTTTAAACAGACTTTCTTTCTTCTCTAATGTGATATAAATCGCAGATGCACTTTTATTGAATGGTTAAAGCATCGACATGGAGATAATCGACACAAAACGTCCGGACAAAAACCATCGAGAGRAATAAAGCTGGTTAATAAGATTTTTGAGAAAGCTTTGTGTTAAAAAGTAAAAAGGGGAAAACAGCTGAAGGTGACAGTTAGTTCATGGTTAATAGGATAAAGACTGCATGGTTGAGCTGCACACTTCTGCTTGCAAAGGTTCAGCCACACCAAAGGGCTGAATAGGGTGCTTTTAAAACATAGGACATTTAACACATCTGTTATATTCTTTAACAGAGAAATCAGGTAAAACCAGTCTCAATAGCTGCTTTCATCACCCAGCTCCAAAGGAAGCTAATTACAATTTCCCTTATTTTGATATCTGCCACCAGAGCAAAACAAAACTGTATATATATATATGTGTGTGTGTGTGTGTGTATATATATCCCAGAAAAGCCTTATTTTCTGCTTTTCTGTGCTTTTAACACAAGGTTTATTTTCCCTCACAGCAAAGTGAGGAGCTTCCAGGCCTGCAGCCCTGGCCTGAGCGATCCCGCACTCACAATTCCACTCAAAGGCGCTCCAGGGGGAGTCCCAGCAGTGCAAAAGTCTTCGAGTTACACTTTTAAGAAGTGATATTAAGAACGCGGCACTAGCTCGGAACAGTTTTACTTTAGCCGTAGGTCACAATGCCGTTTTCACGGCCAAAGAGCAGTTATTTCGACTTTTTATTTCTATTTTTTAACACGTAGAGGAGAATCAGCTCCCGGGGCACCTAGAGGGCAGCTCGGCTCCTGCAAAGCCGCTCATTTCCCTCTCCCCGCTCAACTTTGCTGCGGCCGAGTTCTCACCTCCCTTGGACCCTCGCGAGCCTCTTGCCCGCGCGCGGGCGCGTGGGCCCCGCGCGAGCTCCGCGCTGCTCCCGCGGGCCGCGGCGGCCGCTCGCAGCTCCGCGGCGGCGCCCGCGGGCCCCGGGAGCGAGGCCGGCGGCACGCGCGGCTTGCGCGGAGCCGCAAAGCGGAGCCTCCCTCGCGAACTTTGCGCCGCTTGGAAACTTTCCGCGGCGGGGGGGCGTTGGAGGGGGCTGCGCGGGTGCAGGGGGCACCGAGGGGGCGGGCGGGCGATGCGCAGCCCCGAGGCCCGCCCGGGCTTTGTGGCGGGGCCATTGTGCGGCTCGGGCTCAGGGGCGCCTAATCCAATCACGGGCCGCCCCCCCTCCTCCCTCCCCGGACGCCAGGGCCCGCGAAGGAGGCGCGGGCCGCGCATTGTCCGCGCTGTCACTTCTCAAAGCGCCCGGGCCGCCGTGGGCCGCTATAAAACCCCGCGCGTCGCGGGAAGGGCACGCAGAGCCCTTGCCTGACGCGCCAGCGGGAGCTTTAACCGACCGCGGTCGCCAAGCAAGGAAAAAAACCCCGACGAGCGCAGCGCAGCGCGGCCCCAGCGCGGCCCCTGCGATGATGTTCCCGAGCCTCCTGGCTCCCCCGGCCGTCTACCCCAACCTGCTGCGGCCCACGCCCACGCTCACGCTGCCTCAGTCGCTGCAGTCCGCCTTCTCCGGCCACTCCAGCTTCCTGGTGGAAGATCTCATCCGCATCGGCAGGCCGGCCGCCTACCTGCCCAGGACTGCCCCCGCGGGCAGCCTGTCCCCGCCGAGCTCCGCGGCCGGGGGCGACACGGGCACCCCGGAGCTCGCCGCCGCCGCCACCCCYGCCAGGAGGATCTGCTCGCCCCAGACCCCCGTCTCCTCCTCCAGCAGCGACTCCACGTTCCTCAAGTTCGGCGTCAACGCCATCCTGTCCTCCGCGCCCCGAGCCGGTAAGGGCCGCTGCCCGGAGCCGCAGCAAGCAGAGACCCGGGGAGACTGAGGCGGACGGGGAGGGAGCCCCGGGGCCGAGCTTAAGGGGAAGGGGCAGCGCCCACGGACGGAGGCGGCGGGAAGGACGAGGGAATGGGACAGCCCGACGGGCCCGCGGACKCCTTCGGCCTCCGCTTTTGCCCCCGCGCTCCACCTACCCCTCTTCCCGGAGAGCAGCCCGGTCCTCCCGCTTTGCCCTTGCTCGAGCGGAGCCGACAGCCACCCCTTCCTTAATTTATTTGTCTTTCTTTRCTAGAAACGTCCCCCTCGCTGCTTCAGAGCGTTCCTCCAAAGACTTTCTCCTTCCCGTACTTTGAAGGATCCTTCCAGCCTTTTATCAGATCTTCCTACTTTCCAGGTAGGTCCTTAAAACTCCCGCTCTCCCTCCCTCGCCCGCGCTCCGCCTCCCCTCTCCGCGCACGTCGCCGCGATCCTCCTGGTCCAGCCCCGGGGGTTATGCTCCGGTTCAGAGGTTGCACAGAGTACAACATTCAGGAATCAGTCGCGCCAATTTGATGCCCTATTTAGCACGAGCGCTGACTGCTTGACATCTCGCTCCCATTTCCCCCCGCACACGCACCGAGACCGGCGAATTAGGCGGAACTGTCACGGTGCCGAGGCCGAGGCGCCGCTTTCAGCACCACGGGCCGCCTGGTCAGCTCCCGCGGAGCGAAAAAGGGGAAAAAGGGGGAAAAAAAAAAAAAAGGGTGAAAAAAAAAAAAAGAAAGACAAAGAAAACCTAACAAAATCTCACTCCCTGTCCCCCCAATCTCCCTCCGCCAGCCCAAGGCGCAGGGACACGGAGGGTGCTCGCTGGGTGCCTGCGCGCCGAGCTTGGAGGAAGCCGCCCATAAAAGTCGGGCGCTTTTACATGTGGATGGGAAGAGACCCAGGAAAGGGTCCGGGGCTTCCCCTCTATCCCCCTGACACGTATTAAGCTTTCCCTGTCCGCCTCACGCCTCTAGCTTCAGCTCTTGACACCCTGACCGCTGGGCAGAATCTTCCAAATTTACAGAAAGTTTAAAAAAAAAAAAAAAAAAAAAGGGAGAAAAAAAATCATCAGACCCACAGGTTTGTAGATGCGATTCTGGTAGGAGTAAAGCGTTACGAAGTGGAGACAACAAATAAAAAACTAATTACACCAACAAACTGTTAATTTAAAAAGAAAACGGGGAAGGAAAGAGAGGGGGGGGGAACAACCCAAGCGCTACCATTCATGCCGCTGATAATGGAATTTGCTTCTTTTCTGCGGCATGTGAATAGCCTAACAAAAACAACTTGAGCTTTATAAATAGCTTTTCATGTCCATTTAATGAAAATGATTTGGGGAAAGAGACGATTGTGCCATCAGTATTCTCCCGGGGAGCCTGGCATGCCGTTGTGTTTAGTTTGAAAGTGTAAATCTCTTTTGTTCCAGTAATATATGGCGTTAGCTGCTTGTCCTCAGTCTTTTTCTGTTAGTTCATTACTACACAATTACCATTCACGCTTCATTAGCATCTCTGTCTCTCTTGGGGAGGTTCCCCCCCCACACGCTTTTTTTTAAGGCGAAACTCTGCCCTTTTTATCATACCAATGCCATTGAGAACCATGCCATGTGCTAATTAGCTGTTACTTTTCATGTCTTCGGATTCAATTCTCCATTTTTTTGGCGAGGGGGGTGCGGAGTGAGGGGGAGATTAATATAAAAAGATGAATACTGATTGCTCAAGCTGCATCTGTAGAGGACTGGTTTTGTTTGGATCAGAAAAGTCCTCATTTTCATCTCAAGCGTAATAAAGTGCCTGAAATGATAAAAGCGCCTGGAAAAAAAAAATCAAACACTTTGGAGTGAGACAGAAAGCTTTTTTATTATACCTCTATCTTAGCTGCTACCCCTCGCTCGGCCCTTTCAGGCTGCCGACCTTTGAATCTCCTCACAAAACAGGCCACTGTGGCTGCATTTTCCACGTTTCAGTTGATAGGTCTAATCCCCACCATCGCGCGCTGAAAAGGGGCGGCTGGTTAAGCTCCAAGCTCCTTCCAGCGCCCCAGGTTGGTAGGTGCTAGCCCTTTCCCCGGGAGCCACTGGAATGGGTGGGATGAGAGCTGGGGGGAAGCCAATGCAGCCTGGAGAAGGAACCAGGGGCGAYGAGGAAGGGGGTGCGGGCCCCGCTCACCGCTGTCCCGCTCTCTCCTAGCTGCCTCCTCYGTGGTGCCCATCCCCGGGACCTTCTCGTGGCCGCTGGCGGCGCGGGGCAAGCCCCGGCGGGGCATGCTGCGGCGCGCCGTCTTCTCCGACGTGCAGCGCAAGGCGCTGGAGAAGATGTTCCAGAAGCAGAAGTACATCAGCAAGCCCGACAGGAAAAAACTGGCAGCCAAGCTGGGCCTCAAGGACTCGCAGGTGAGTGAGGGCCAGGGCAAGGGGAGGAGGAGCTTCAAGTGGGAGAAGGGAAGGTAGCTGAGGGCATGATGATGAGYTGAGTTGCCCATCATCATCAGAAAATCCAAGCAAGCTGCAGGGCTATGTGTCCTGGCAAGTGAGCAGCACAACTGCCCACTGGATGGGCAGGAGTTGGCCAGAGCACTTGCATGTTCCCTCTCTGAGGGTCCCCAGGGTCTAGGTTGTGCTGCCCATCAGCCCCTGTATCTCATTATGGAAGGCCTTCAAAGCGCAGTTCCCTTAGTCCTTATTTTACCGATCATTTTACTTACATTTATGAGTTGCTTCCCCTCTCYAGGTGAAGATCTGGTTCCAGAACAGAAGGATGAAGTGGAGGAACTCCAAAGAAAGAGAGCTCCTCTCTTCTGGTGGCTGCAGAGAACAAACCTTACCCACCAAATTCAACCCTCACCCAGACCTCAGTGACGTGGGCAAGAAGTGCTCGGGAGAGGAAGAGGAGGAAGTTCCCTCCATGTGCCCAGCCAGCCCTCGGCATCCCTTGACCTATCATCAGTCCCCAGAGCACCTACACTTGAGGGACAGACTGGACTCCCAGAGGTGTCCTTCTCCGTCCCATTCCAGCAGTCCCAGCAAACCTTCAGACTTCTCGGACTCAGAGGAAGAGGATGATGACGGGGAAGAGGAAGAGGAGGAGATAACAGTCTCTTAGATCACCTGCCTGCCCCTACCATCACCAGGGGACATTGCAAAGATGTAAATAACACAAAGAACTATAAATTGAAGAGGTGCTATCCCTCCTGAACCTCCACATGCTTCACCGGTGCAGGTTATTTATCACAGAAACACAAGCCTTCCTACTCCTGGGTATTTAGTATTTGCCCACGTGCTGTTTTCTTTATTCACAGTATGTGTTAACCTGGTCATACCTGCCTAGCATCCAAAATTTACTCAGTTACTACATGCTCCTGAAAGCAAACAACAGGTCCTGCCTTTACAGCAAGGAGGAAGATGTTCAATCAAGAGAAAAATGTTCCTTTCACACACACTAAAAAAAGGAGGGTGGTGGGGAGGACTTTTTCACTACAGTTCAAATGAATTTTGACCTACTATTAGGACTTCAAAAGCCTGAAGACCAGTCTCACCTAGCAAGACTGTCCTCCAAAATTAATTAATTAGGCACCCAGCCCAAATTCCTTCCTTAGTGACACTGAGATACTTCAGTACACGCTGAGTACTGGGTACTGTACTGTACGATACCGTATGATACTTCAGGAGCAGACCCACTGATCACCAGTGATAATGACTTGAAAATGACTTTTCAATTAACAGTGCGCCTTGCATAAYGGAGACCTTATATGTTTTTATTTTTTTTCATTTTAATTTATGCAGCAAATTTATATATAAAGCACTGTCTAAATCACCTTCTTGCCCATCTTTGTTTTCCACTTTGCTTCTATCAGTTATGTGGACGGAGGAAAGTGGATATGCCTCTTTGATTTTGACTGAACTTTGCTGTCTTTGAACAGCTTATATGAACTGTACRCTATTTTGTACACTTACTCTGTATGGATGTTTTATACCAAGGTTATTGTGAATGAATATAAAGATGCCTCAACAAATTTTCCCCCTTTTTTGATTTTTTTTAATTAAATGATGGCTAAACTAAAAAATGAGTGTAGCTGCTTCATTGTGTAACTTATAAAAACACTTTTATTTTGTATTTTACCGTGTACATACTTTAAATATGTATATAAAATAAACTGAAAAGACGCCAAATAAAAAAGTAGATTTCCAAGTTTAGTCATTCTGTTCTGCTTGCCTCCTCTCTATGTGCAGTTGTCACAACTTTTGCTAGAAAGGAAAATATCATCCTTTGGAACATTATAGTAATTCAACAAGAAATTATCAGCTTCAGAACAAATCAAACAAAAGAATACGAACCTAACTTTTATGTAGGAAGTGATTTGAGCTCTCTGATAATCTTTCACAAGTACTTTTAAAGGAAAAGCAGGTTGAAACTGAGGACAGAAACTCTTAGGCAGACTAGAGTAGAACTACATTGTAAAAAAATATTTTTATTTCGTTAAGACATAAAGCTAAACAGTTTTTTTTTCTTTTAACGAGACACTGTAGTAATATATACATCACTTGTAGGAATTTTGAGATCTTCTATACTTGGAACTCCAAATTAAGTTAGAGGTGGTACTTACTTATTTAAGAGATGTTACAAGAAGTGGCACGGGAAGTGATCCACTTTCTCACCAGAGTTTACTAGACCGTTTTTAACTATCCTGACTCTGGGGGTACATGTAATTTTTAGAGAGAAAAGTCTGCTCATGTTTACAGAAGCACTTTCAAGCTCTAAAAATGTAAATATCCCTACAAACTAATGTTTGTATATATAAATATACTTTTAATCAGCTAGCATGCTTGACACAGGATGAATTTATGTCCTTCACAAGTCAAGAAAGAAAGCAGAAAGCAGGGAGGAAGCTGGGAACCGCCATGGGCACCATGCAATGCCGATGACCGTCTTGGAGCTGCGTCTCCAAAACGATGACCCTCCTGGAAGCCCAGTCCAAGCTCAGGTATCATCTAACTCCCCAACTCATGGCTCCACCTCTGCAGACCTTTTCCAGGAGGGGATGGAAGAAGAGGAGGACCCGGACACGCAGACTCTGTCCTTTGGAGTTGTCTCAGCTTCCCTCAGTAGAGAGGTCAATGTGGGAATCAATAGCAGGAGGAAAGTGGTAAAAAGGGGACAAACTCAGAAAGGACAGAGGAGCAGGCAGAAGCCTGCAGAGCACCAGGATAYGTTCCTGCTCCGGTCATGCCGTTGCTGCTCCGAGAAGACACTGGAAGACGTTGGGAAAGCTCTTCTGATCTTTCAACAAGTCAGTGTAGCTGTTCGTCCCAAGCTGCAAACTCGTCTTGTAATGAGGAAATCCTGCTGTAGGGGAAATTGCTGGGGAAATTGCCGGGGAAATGCTGCTCTGAGCACAGCAAGGAAGTCAACACTGGCCCCCATGACATTGAGAAGCTGTGATGTGTATCCACAGAAGACATAAAATGAGTTTGGAAACAGAAATAAAAAAGGGCAGTAGAGATTAAAGAGAAGATGAGGGAAGGGAAAACCACATGAGGGTGAGTATAGAAGGCCACACATAGAGGAGAAAACCGGGAAGAGACAGGGGAAGCCAAAAAAAAAAAAAAAAAAAAAGGGAAAAAAGAGGGGGGAAAAGTGTTCCCGAGTGGTATGAAGCATTTTGGTGCTAGACCAATATGGATTCAAGAGCTTTCCGAGATCAGGGCTACAGGATTGGCTGCTGTGCCCATGAACTTGTGTGAAGCAAAAGGAGTTTACAGGAAACCAGCTAGAGTGCACCCAAAGTTTGCCCAAGCATGTCCAAAAATCTGTAAAATTGTTCCTTAGGGATAGATCAAAAATAYGACTAGAGCTAGGCTTGCACTGTTGTGTTGCTGAAGGCAAGTGAGGAGGATGTTTGCAACTTGGAAAAAAGAAGTGTAAAAAACAACAAAAAAAGGWTAACATGGTGACCACAAAGGATGTTTCCCCTGGAAGATTGCAAGGACGACCCGTTAGCACCCTGATTTTGACCATTAGCACCCTAATTTTATTTTTAATGTGATTTGCTTTGCCCATTACGACAAGCTGGGGATTGGTATGGGCTAAGATGAACGCCAACATGGAACATGAACCTTCCCTTGAGTGTCCCCAGGCCAAGGGCAGTCCTGGTGAGCATGGGAAGTCAGGATCCAAGGGTGTAGCCAACGGAGCAAAGCACTCCCAGGATTGTGTAGAGCTCCTTCTACGCGAGGACAGAAATCAAGCCCAAACAGATCTTGATGGATTCCTAGAGGAGGGGATCGTAGATGGTTCTCCTGTGAAATAACCTTAGATGGACAAGGCCTTCCTACAGCTTGGGACATGTGTATTCCCTCATTGACTTAGATGATTTTCCTCCCATTTCTCCTGGTTGACTTCTAGGGCTACATGGCCTTCTGGGTTGCTGGTATCTTCTGACCTATGCTTACCAGAAAAAAGCAAAAATAAGAATTAAAACCACACAAACGTCAAGCCCTAAAAAAAGTTGTCGATTGAGAGGGGACAAAAAGTGCAGGGGAGGCACAAATCTGAATAAATAAGCATCAATTTTATTGAATCATGAATAATTTAAGACTGGTACAATCATCAGCTTTATTCTCCATGACACAGGGCTGGGGCAGGGTGAGGAATGGGGCGGGTGAGAAAGGGGAGCATGATCTCAAGCAGACCATTCACAAATTYCGATCCTAAATGAGAACTGAAAATTAAATAGGGAGAGGAGCAAAACGGAAAACATCATAAACGTACACAAAATACTCAATTCCTAGTTTTTCTCTTTAAAAATGGCTAGAAAAAATTCATCAAAATGCAGCACTTTTAATCAAATATTTACAATTTCTATGTTACAATGAAAAAATGTACATCTTATAGAACATATTTCATAAACTGTTCCACTGGAAACAACTAGATCAAAAGAGCAACCTTCCATTTAATATCCACAAAGAAAGTTTTTTTTGTTTAATTTTCATATTTTTCTTGAAAGAAAACTGCCACAATTAGACAAGATTTAATACACATAATATTGAAGTTAAGCATCCACAACAAATTATCATCCTGCTTTTTTTTTTTTTCTTTCTTTTTTCAAAAATGTACAAAAAGACTAACCAAGCCCCTCCCTTCCCTTCCCCAAATAAACTACATCTCATTTATGGCCTGGAAAAAATTCTTGGCAGTTCTGACAGAAAGAAAGCTGTTCATACTTTCAATTTTACGACTCACCGTGAATGTTGCATAGAATCTTGCATTTATTTATTTCTTTTTTTTTTAAACAAGCCAACTTTGGAAATAAAAAGGCAAATAAAAAAAAAAAGAAAGAATTTTGCAAAAGGCTTTAAAGAAGAGCAAAGCCACTAAAATAAAGATTTAAGATATTAAAAATCCTTTTTTTTTTTTTTTTTTTTAAGTGTGCACAACAGGTAACCCTGCTTCCCAAAGTTTCTGAAAAGACTGAATATTGTGATGCTCAAAATGAGTAGCCTACTCAAAATTGCCTCTTCTGCACTGTAATCCAAACTAGTGTCAATAAAGCAATAAACACTTTTTTTTTTTTCCTGAGCTTAAGCACAGGATTAAAAATTAGAAAAAAAAAAAAAGAAAAAAAAACTTCACAAATAAACCACCATTTTAGACACGTCTCAGAGGACTCAGTTAAAGGTAACTTTCTAGGCTATTAAACACGTGTAAAACCCTAGCCCTGGAACTGCATTTTTTTTCCCCAGGCACATGCTCTATCCACACGGATTCGGTTGGAGGATCCGGAGCCCGGATTCACAGTAATAGCAGGAAAAGTCAGTGCTGGGAAGCAGAATCGTCACAACTGCTGAAAATAAAAATAAAAATAAAAATAAAAATAAAAATAAAAATAAAAATAAAAATAAAAATAAAAATAAAAATAAAAATAAAAATAAATCCACCTCCCTTTGCACCAGCAGCATCGTGCTGCATATACGACACCCTACAGATTTATCCCACTTCTTTTTACAGCACCAAGGCCCAGACTAGATACACTGGCCAAGTATTTCATTCGGTGACATAATCAAATAGAATTCATAACTTTAAATCACTAACTACACCAAGCTCTCAGCCCCTCCCCCGTCATTAAAATATTTTTTTCTTTTACAGTATTTTTTTTTTTAAAAAAAAAAGAAAAATCATCAGCACTTCAAAGTTGTAACAGGAGCGGATTCAAGACCAGCTCAGTAAGACAAAATAAGTACAGTCATGTCACAGAAAGTCATGAGGTATAATAAAACCATCCTCTCACTGAGTCACAAAAGCACAAACTTGCCTTCTAGATTATTTTAAACCCACRAGGATTAATAAGCTCTTAAAAAAGTGTTTGCAATAAGTTTTCTTTCTGCACATTGAAAACCCCCCAGCATATTCCTGTTATTTATTAACGACGACATTTATTATTGTTGAAAAGCTCTTTTTTCCCTCTTGCACGGACAAAACAGCTCTTCAGTGATCTATTAGCTGCAGATTGATATGAACCTGAAAAGTTTCCTCATTTCCCTCATTTTTTTTTTCCTTTTCCCGTCACATTTAAACAAATCCTAATATTTCATATAAACAGTATTCACAGCAACTCACGATATCCCAAGAGATGACTTTAGCCCTGTCGGTTTGTTTCAAGAAAACCCCGTAATATACAGCACTAATTGAATCGACACAAGTCATACAAAATAAGGCATCGCTTTTGCAAGTGCAGCACCAGGAGGCGGGGAGCTGCAAGGGCTCGCGAGGACCGAGGCTCTTGCTGAGGTACAGCCTAGGACAGCGGCGTCACAAGGCTGGGCTTATAGTGAGGAGGCCACTGCAATGCATGGCCACGTGCCCCYGTTCCCCCCAAAAATATGAGCCTTAACACTGCTGCAGGCGCCGTGTGTGCGTTCGGAGAGGAGGAGGAATAAAAGCAGGGTCACAGCTCCGCCACAACTCAAGAACGTGGCCCGGCTAAGACTTCACTGCTGCACTGGCCTTTCCCTGCCTTCTTTTATTTTGATTTAGCTTTTTACAGACCTAGGTCCTGCTAAAATACTGCTGTCTGCAGTTAAGAAGAGTAGTCATGGGTGTAAGTGTTATTGTGGCCAGAGTAGCACCAGAGCCGCCACAAGGCTGAGTTTTAATCCGTAATCCATTTAGGGTTGTGCTGATCCRAACAAAAACCCCTGACACCCCCTGCACCCCGAAAATCAAACTTCTCAGAAAACAGCTGTAACGTTTCATGGCAAGAATTGAAAAAGAAATAAAAAGAATTAAGAGCGGAGGTGGTCCAGTCGCCCTCATCCCTGTAAATCGCCTACCCCAGCRCCCAGGCAGGCAGAGGTCTGCGGATGCCGGCGGGAGGAGACCCGGAATCGCCCAGGATAGCAACGGGCTACCTGATCTTCCTCATTTAGTAGGATTGTTTGAGACACAGTGTTTGAGAAGAACCTGATTTGTTCAGGCGGTAAATATATATATTCCTATTTATATAGAGCATATTATAAACGCACACCGAAAGCATGCCGAGGTCTCRGACTGGCAAGGAGAGCAGTGCTTCTTCTTTCCCCCTCTATTTTTATCATTTTTTATATTTTTTTTCAAACTTCCCTGTTTTGAAGGTTTGCCTTTCATGGGATATTTTTACCAAGGCAAGTAAATAGTGTGATAGCACCAGAACTATACAAAGCTGAGTTTAATCTGCAAAGCTGATTGGTAAAAGTCCAGCCCTCACCTAAATATGCTTGGTCAGAAGCAGCATAGGCAAAAAATTTCCTCTCCCTTCTTTGTCTGAACAGTGCATGGCACAAAGGTGTTTGCTTCATAGCTGTGAAGTTCCCCCCTCCTTTTACTTTTCTTTCTCTTTCTTTTGAAATGATGATTACTTCTACTGTCTTCAGTATCTTAGGCATGAGAGCTTACAGCAACTAAACAGAAAACCAAACAAACCCCAAAGGAATAGTGCAGTTCTTATTGTAAAAAGAAAAAAACAATACAAAGGTGGTTTGGGTTGCCCGCACCCAGGTTCAAGACTGACTCAAAAGTGTCTTGTTCTTGCAGCTCTAATACTGAGATACCAGCCCAGCCTAGCCCAGGAACATGTCCTTTCCATGAGTTTGTCATTACGCTTCTTGCAGGACAGCAATAATGGATACGACTTCTTTCTCTCTGCTGAGGATCACAACGTTGACTCCAGAGATGAATCGAGGATGTCATCGTGATGGCTGTTGCTGTTGGAGTCACTGTCGTAACTCTGCGGACTTGAGTAGTTGGCTGCTTCTTGCAGTCTCATCAGCATGTTCATCTGCCAACACAGAAATTCAGGCTTATTTGTATGCTCCGAGGCAGAACATCYACCCCATAAAGAAGTCACCGGGGCATTCACTTTGCCAGTGTGTGACCTAGCTAAGGGAACACACAGCTGAGCTAATTCCTGCTACATGGAATGAGGAATTACGTGTGTAAGCAAGCTAGCCACGGACTGCATGCTATTCCAGTAGGGGTGAAAGGGAGAGGATGGATGGTGTCTACAGCTATATTCCTCAAGACTCTGCCAAGCATCCTTCTCCTGTCTTGCTCTGACTTGGGAAATACCTACAGAGGAGTTGAAGGAGGCTTATCTGAATGTATAGCTCAATCTGTGTATGTATACAGCAGCTGGTGAAAACTGTAGCACTGTGTTCCCAATCATCCAGAAAAAGAAACACCTCGAAAGAACAGTTTCAGGGTGTTCCTCGCTTGCACAGCAGTTTCAAGAGCTGTCTCCCATGGAAAGAAATGTATACGAGGTCCAACTTGTAGCTCCACTCTATACAAATGCATGTTAACACTTATTTATACACAGCATCTAGTTTGTAAATTATAATCCAGTCATGGGAAGCGCTGTTTCCTATACACAATGGAAAACTTCTTTTCTTTGGAGAAGAAAGTGGTTCAGAGAACCATTTGAAGCAACGTACCCATTTTGTCCTTCTGGCCAAATGAGCTAAATCAAATGGGTCTCTTGTATTATCCACACAGCAGAGATGTACAAAAGTACCTAACTCCACAGTGCAGAAATGAAGCTTATGACTCTGACAGTCACTCAGCCCATAGCCTCAAAAACAAATGCAAAAAAAAAATCTGCTGCTATTTTCTGARAAACTTTATGGGCTTTCTATACTAATGCACACCCAGGGGCATTTTATCACTTCCTGAGAAAGATCYCTCATTCAAACCCTTGAAAACTTCTCAGCTTGTGCTTTTTTCCTGTTTCTGATCCCCATCAGCAAAGAAAGCTGACCAGTTCTGACATTTAAAAATCAAGAACTTACCAAGGGATCTCCTTCAGCATCGCTCACTGGGACTTGTTTGCTGGTTGAGCCTTCCCTCGACATGGAGTAGCCATCAAACCCCACATCTTCAGGCCGTAGCTGTAGCAGAGGAGGCCACTCGTGATGCTGCGGGGTGGCTGCCCACGGGTAAGTGTCCATCACCCATTTGGCAGGATCCTCCCAGGGAGCTCTCCTCCCATACAGCTGGAAAAGTACAAAGGCATTTTTTTTAAATTAAGAAAAATAATACATTGCTGGTAGTTTACCACTTTATTCAGCACTTATGCAATCAAAATGAATGTGCCACCATCGTTCCCCTGCAGAAAAAAAAGTTCAGGCAGAGCTGAAATGAAATGAATGAGATTTTCACTGTCCAAACGGTTCACAACACTTTAGCCATTTTTCCTGGCAAATGACATGGAAGAGCATGACCACTGCTTTCTCAAACACAGCTCCCCAACACCATTTAGAGAAAAGGAAACCTGAAAATAACCTCACCTTCGAAAGTTATGAGACTTTTTTTCCCCCGATTAAATAAGTTAAATACAGACTAGAAGTCATTAATGTTCATATCTGCTTTACAACAGCAGAGCTTACCTAAAACTGGCCTACCTAATTTTGTTATCACAGTGAAACTCCATAGGAGGAAATGTGATACCTGCTATCAGGCAATAACTATGAATGTCACAGCAAAAGTTTCTAAGGCAAGAGAATTTCTCTGCACTCAACTGAAAAAAAAAAAAAAAAAAGTGTCAGGAGAATTTGGCTATGGTGTCAGTCCCAGCTTATTCTACTCCTTGGTCTATTCTGACAGGTTTGCCATACTGAGACAAAAAGAAATTCCTCTTAATGTCCCACGAGTTTCAAAAGCAGAAGCACATGTTCATTTGATTTCCTGATTTCCAATTGTGCTCTCTGAGCTTCTGTGCCAAACGACTTTCAGGTACTGAAACTCAAATTCAGAGACCTCTCACTCTGCTGTCCAAGGGAGGTGGTGGGAGAACACAACTGGTAGAACAAGAGTACTTGAGCTCTTTGAAGGACCTATGACGGCCTCAACTTCCTCACTATTCACTTTTTCTTCTGGCACGCATTCTGTTCTCCTCCCCATTTCCAGTGAGAAGATTTAGGACAAGCTTTTTTGAGCTTAGCTCACAGGCTAAAGAAGTCTTATTTTTCTGCCAGGGCTTTTCTGTACAAGTTAAATCACAAAGCACTGAATTTCTCTCAAATTTATTGAATTGAATAGCAAATTTATTGAACTGAATAACATTGATATTGAATTTGAATTTTGAATTTTAGTATCGATATTGAATTTACTGAACTGAATGATATTGAATTCTGAAATGTATTGACTTGAATAGCAACGGCTGCTTTATTCAGAAGCAGAAGCCCCCTGGTCACAGCACAGAGCCCATGTGCCCAGTAGATGGTGCTCGGCTGTCTTAAACATGTCCTTCTTGCACAGGACTAACAGCCCATCATTTCCCCAACCTCATATCCTCAGGCTGTGTGTAAGCCAGGTCTCCTGTTTTCACCTCATTCCTGAATTTATGAGCAAAACAACAGCTACTAAAYGGGGAGAATTTTATATTTTCAGCACTGTCCTTGCTTTTTCAAGGAGACCTGGTCGCTATGTTTCTAGCTCACTCTGAAAATTAGCTAACGAGTAGGATTTCCACTTAAATATACGAAATAATCAGTAACCTTCAGCACTACGGAGGCTTAATCACTAACTCGCCATGCCCTTCCACAGCAACTGCTTCTGTTCATCCCCTTTGCAGGCAGCTTTTCTAGAGAGAGGCGTAACACACCAGGAGGGGTCAACCCACTCCGGTTCTCGGAGCACCAAGGAGGTGAGGTGCTCTTCTCRGTGGTGGTCACTGACAGGACAGGGGGGTAATGGGTGTTAAGTTGCAACACAGGCAGTTCCATCTGCATGTGAGGAAGAACTTCTYGACTGTGAGGGTGCCAGAGCCCTGGAACAGGCTGCCCAGAGAGGTTGTGGAGGCTCCTTCTCCRGAGGTCTCCAAAACCTGCCTGGATGTCACCCTGTGCCMCRTGSTCTRGGTGTCCCTGCTGGAGCAGGAAGGTTGGCCTAGATGATGTCTAGAGGTCCCTTCCAACCTTAACCATTCTGTGATTCTGTGAGGAGTACTGGGGTTTGAGCCAGTGTGGCAGGAAGCCATGGGGAGCCTGGGTCCCYCTTTTATGGGTGCTGTATTCTTGATCAATGCAACAAGCAGAATTAATGTGGGTTTTTTTTATAGCTCTCTGGTTTTTACACTCTACTTTTGAAGAACTGAAAACACTGCAGCCCAAGGGAGAGCAGTTTTTGCAAGGATCCATTTAACTCACTTGCCTTTGACTCTAAACAGCCCTCTAAATGGGAAACAGAACTAKAGAAATAGCTCAGTTGAGATCCATAGCGTTAGGAGTGAAATCAGCAGTCCACCCTTCCTTTCTGGCAGGCAATTTCACATGGGAAGGTGTATTCACAGAGGAATCCTTGTGGGAGGGCAGAAAATAAAGCACATGTTTCTAACACGGCCCTTGCTGCTCTTTGAGGACTGAAGTCAGACCCACTCAGCATGAGAGCGCTTCTGGAGTAAGTTGAGACATTATTTAAATGCAATTTATTACTGTTATTTAGGGAAATAGGAATGTTTGACCATTTCTGTGTTTTAGGAAGAAAAAAAAATGGCTCTTACTATTTTCCTTTAAAGAGGCTCCATAAAAAAGGTTTAAGTAAAGTTCACCTACTTTGCATTTTGCTCTTCTTCTGGATGTTAAAAAGATTTTGTGTTCTATTTTAGTGAAGTGCTTTTATCTGTGTTCTGCTTTAGAAGCTATCATGTTCTTCCTGCCTACCATCATCATCTCAAAGAAATCAAAGCCTGCTGAAATTCAAGTGGTAACTGCAGTTTCCAGAAACACTGACCAAAAGTTGAGGAATTCACACCTATTCAGCAAAGGCCTGAGGAGCCTCTAGTGAAAACTTAGTTTTCTCTGAAAGAGATGTCCTCATTCTCTCGGGAAAATTGTATAAATCCCTACTGCAAAATTAGCAAGCAAAATATGAGGTTCTTCTTAGCCAAGTGACATAGAAATCCTTCTCTTTTCAAGTATTCAGACTGCTGTGTCTTCRTTCTTCTTCATTCTCTGCCAACTACTCCAATGCAGACAAGAGCTGAATCTCTGATAGAAAGTATTGTACAGAGAAGAAACTCGACACAAAAGCAAACCAAAATCCAAAGCAAGACACTGCTTTTGTTGCATACTTTTTGCAACTTGCATACTTTCTACATAACAAAATGACAAGTTTTCTTGAAGAACCCTGTAATGTTGAGTTCCAAAGAAGTATCAAATTGCAAAGGACTATTCTTTATAAGCATGAAGGAACCATTTCACCATACAGTAACATTTCTACAGAGACCAAAATTTATTTCTGTTTCAGAAAGACCTCAGACAGAAATCAATTTATGCCGAACTGTTAATTTTCCTTAGTAATAAAATCGTGTCTTGTTTGTAGATCAGTTATTTCTAGCCCAGACGCACCATATATCCTGTAGATATCTACTCCAAGACTAAACAGAAAACTCTGTACACCAAATCCCCTTTAAACTTCCTCTTGAATAAAGGTAGTAATTCAGTCTTCCCATCTTTCTCCTTGAACAGTGTTTTGTTTCTCTACGTGTGATCTTGCATGAAGTTCTACATACCTACTGAAAGGAAAAAGTCTTCCCCAAATTTCCARTTCTTTAGCTGATATTTTACAGACGTCTAAGTATTTTGTGTGCCAGGTTATAGCCACAGAAAAAGTCATTCTATTCAGGGTTGTGTTGCCTTCCAGATTGGTACCAGACAGATCTGCTCACCTGCAGGCCTTCTCTAACTGCCTCCAGGAGATACGGGATGATAGAGTAGTTCCATAAGTCAGTAAACCAAACTCTAGAACCATCTACATCTATCGGACAGGAGAGGAAGAGTCGGGGACCTAGAAGAGAAAATTGACAGATTACAGTCAAATCATGATCATGAGATGCCTCAAAATAGGATCAAACAACAACTTCCAAGTCTCCAGAGAAAAAAGCCCAGCAAAAGAAAACAAGCRTAGCTATCTGATTCATTGGTCTTCTGGAGCGTTCAAAAATCTTTTAAATCAACTTGAAAAAGTAAAGCTTTTCAGAAGAAATAACTTGGCAGATTTCGTAGGACACCATGCATCGAGGACTAAATGAGGTCTATTACAAAGAGTTGAGAACTTCTTTGATTTCCTTGAGAGGACATTGCAATTTAAACGCAGGATTTTAAAGAAACCTTTTTTTTTTTCACCTGGTGTAATACAAGGAAAGAAAGTATATACATTTATGTTGGCCATTTGTCTCCAAAGCRGGCAGAAGACTTACCAATAGTAACATCAGAGGAGCTGTGAGCCTCCAAGAACTTGTTCAGATGTTGCCAGACCTTGGGAATCCAATCAATGATTTTAACCAGCTCTGCATTTCTCATCCTGCCACTAATTTCTGTTTCAATTAGTTTTCTTCTCAGGAAACGACCAAGAAAGCCCTTGACTGGCTCAGTGTGRTTAGCACACAGCACCCATCTACAGCAGGACAATAAAAATGTCAGTCATTTATCATTCATATCAGAGAACATAACTAATCTGGCCATATTTTGTTTATTACTGGGTTATTTTAGTCAAATATTCTTCACAGAAATAAATATTTTGGAATTACAGATTTTTAGGATTAAGATTTAAGCAGATTAAGCACTTCATGCTTTGATCCATTTCGTTTTATTTCTCCTTCAAGATCTGCTTTGCCTGTTATCATATTTTAAATTTGTTTGAGGATTTAGTATCTAGAAAAAAAAACCAAAAGTGAAAGTTTTATGAGCTCTAGTTCAGAATCATAATGTAAAGCTGCACATGTTAGTGCAACAACTAGCAGAGATTGGTATTTCTCCTTTGGTTTGCCATTTCAGCYGATAAGAACAACTTCAGATGACTCACTAACCCTTACTCTCCTACCACTTCCAAAASACAACCGAGAAACATGAATAAACAGTACCTGAAATTATGGTGAAGCTGAAGATTAGGTGTTGAAGAGGTGGCTTGGTTCATAGTGCCAATAATATACGGACTATGAAAAAAAAAAAAAAGATGGAAACTTTGTAAAAAAGCAGGACAAAACAAAAAGATCCTGCACATTTTAATTAGATCTTAACCTTAAAAAGGATCACTCAACCCTCTTTTGTCAGTGCAGGCTTTTGCAGTTATACACAATGAGAATTTCTACTGAGAACCTGAATTATAAGAACCTTAAATTACGAAAGCAAAATGGAAATCTGGAAACACGCTCTTCCACTTAAAACAGGCTTTTAGTACAGAAGATCTACTGCGTGAAAGCAGTGCAGATTACCCACACTATCCACTACTTTTTTATTACTTGTTACAGAAAAATTAGCAGTTCTACAAAGCAAAATGCTCAGAGGCTTTTATGAAGCGCTGTCCTATAACACTCTGACCCTTTCCATTCATTTTTTCACGTGAATCCAGCATTCATTTTGCATTCATATTTTGGACCGCGGTTGCCTGACTGCAGCAGAGAGATTAGGAATRTGATTCTATTTTCTTTACCATTTGTGGTACTTGCAGTTTAGAAGACCGTTAAAGATCTCGCCCAGGGAGCTAACGTGATGCAAATTGTCCAAAATGATGACAAGAGGCATATCAACAGCATTATTTTCACTATTACACTGGTCTGCTAGGTTCGACAGGTACTGGCGGAGTTCCTGCAAAGCATAAACAAACAAAAAAGCCTTCATCACAGGGCTTGCAAAGGCAGGTAAGACAGTGGAAGATAAACAATAGTTTTTGTATTGTCAGTATTTGTCATGAAATCCAAAAGAAAAAGACCCACCCTCTTACCAATGTTCACATTCTCCTCATAGAGATAAAAGTATTTTTTTCCCCCATTTGTGCTGTTCTAATGTGATGCTCAGARGTCTGAAATACTTTTTCCTTCTATTCAGGAACCTGTTCAAATCTCTACATRCCTAGTCAGGCAGCTGCTTTATGTTCCAGTTGGGTTTGCTATAGCTTCTTGCAACTCTATTTCTAGCTAAGAAAAGCACACAGAATTAACCTGGAGCAAAGCACTCCTCAGCAGAGGCTAAATWTGGATGCCTTGAAACATGAAGGAAGGAGGAATGCTCAGTGCTACTGTTGGGTGACCAGCTGCAGCTGAAATCTCTTATCTTTAAAGTATTTATTACATAGCATGTCTCAAATTATACCGGTGGGCTACAACTACAATTTCCACCAGCTCTTTTCTCCAAAGGAACATTTRCCTAAGGTCATCAAATATACAGACTTTTTCTTTCTTTTTTTTTTTTCTTCCTCTTTTCTTTTTTTTTTTTTYTTTCTCTTTCCCTTCCCTTTCCCTTCCCTTTCCCTTCCCTTTCCCTTCCCTTTCTCTTTCCCTTCCCTTTCCTTCCCTTTCCTTCCCCTAGAAATTCACAGGAGGTATATTCAACAAAACCAGAAGTGCCTAAAGATCAGAAGCGTGCCTTCCCAGCTCAGGAATGTGCCTGGACAACAGTAACTACAGAAACAGCGTGTGCAGATGACTGCTGCTGATACTTGCAGCTACAGAACCTCAGCCTAGAGAAGCATTTGATGGTGTTTGGAAAAGAGCCCACATGCAACAGGGATCACTGAAGTTGCTGGGAATTTTATGCAGGTGTTGAAGTTCCTCTGCAGTTCTCAGGCTACCAGTCACTTGAAAATCAAGACACCTTTAGACACTTAAATATGCACTGMCTCTTTTGTTCCAATAAGGAGGTGAAATGGCAGATTTGAAAATCTTAGTATTATTCCTTTCAAGACATACCCAATGGCTTGGAAAGGAAGGTCAATTTTAAATCATGTTTAGCCTATTATTAATAAACCAAAAAAGCAGGCTCTCCTTTTTGCTATGTGGCAACATTCATTGTGCAAGAGTAATTCCCATTTCCTCACCTTGCTAGATTTATGGTCCACGTTGAAGGTTGCAATAATTCCATCAGCCAGCTCCCTGCCTTCTCTAAGGACCATGTACTCAGAGAGGCGATTTGCCAGGTAGGTTTTCCCAGTGCCACTGGGGCCAGACAAGATAATCCGTCTATGTTCCATCAAGAGAGACACGTAGCGCTGCAGGATCGGCTTGGGAATCAGCGATTCAAACACCAGGCAGTCCAAACTGTTCTCACAGATACCTGCAAAAGCAAAAGATTCCTCCTTTAGGAAACAGTCTTTTTCTTTTTTTTCCTACATTATTGAAAATTTGATTATTTATTTTTTTATTTATTTTTTACTAATTAGTTGTAATGCTGAGAAGTATCCTGCTGGTGAAGTAGCAAGAAATTCAAAGTTAGCTCAAGCAACCACTTAGGCACCAGAGAGTGTTGAAAAATTTTATTTTTCTGAATGTACCTGTAGCATGAGAAACCCCCCCAAATATAACTTGGAAAACATAGATTTAGACTTAGGRTAACCAAGCTGTTCCTGACTCCAGACATAAATCCTTTCCCTGTCTCCCGTTACCCCTCGCAATGAAGCAGGGCAGACATACAGAGCAGTCCCAGGGAGTGCAGGACACGCATCCTGCAGCCTTTCAGCCCTCCCMTTTTTTAAACTACTCATCCACAATCTACTGCATCCAAGCCCTTCTCTGGATAAAAGTTATAAAAAGGATTCCATCTGAACCCAGGAACCTTTAGTTTCACTGTTATTTTGTCATGTGTAGCACGTTCATACAGAATTTACCTGTTTACTTTTGAATCTGTAGACCAAAAAAAAAAAAAAAAAAAGGGCAAAGCAAAACAAAAAACAGTTATCATCAACTCCCCCTACTTTCCCAAACCCTTGTAATTAAACTCCTTCTCTCTATGCTGATGGTTATCTTCCCTAACATAAAACTCCTACTGATAAGCATTTACGCAATATCAGCAGTCACCTTAGGCAAAATTGGCTCAGGAAAACATGCAATGCTTGACAATAACACAGCAGAAAAGGAAGCTGGCAGACCATACACAGACAGAAATATCTGCATCCCGATGGTTAGAATATTAAATATTTATATAGGCAGGGTTATATCTCAAAGGTGTAAGCGAATAACTGATTCCCATTAATTATATTTATATATTATTGAAAAATGTTATCACATATGAACCTTGAAAGTACCAGTCAAGCCATTGCAAGTTAAACAAAGTTGGCTCGCAGCTTTACAGACACAGCTAGTCCTTAAGCAACATTTTGAGTGAGATTATGCTATTGAACAATGTATTCTAATTAAGCAGAATGCTCCGAGTTTGCACCAAGTCTTGGTAAACTAGGATCCTGGTCGATTTTCTGCTTCCTACACAAGGGAATTGATTTCTTATACTAATATTTGGAAAYCAAAATAATTTCAGTTAATTGCCATAGACACATGCTGAACTTCCCAAGTGGACTTAYGGGAGAAATATCAATCTTACTTTCTCGTTAGCATTGCAGAATGAAACCAATGCAAAATTTAAAAAACAAGGCATTTCAAAAACATTTATTTCCAAGAAGATTCAGAGCTCAAGACATCATGGATTCTGGGATCCTTTCTTACCTAAGGAGAGACTCTCATCTGCCATGTGTATAATTGCTTCTATTACTACATGTTGAAATTCGCTGAATTTATAAAGGGCCACTAAATCTCTGCAGTGTCTAGTGCTGTTTTTATCAAAAGGCAAGGGCTACAATGCCAATGAATTCAATACAGAGACAGGAAAAAGAAACACAAGAGGAAGCTGTCACTCCTCTGAGCCTCTTGATGCAGCAGAGTTTGATAAACCCGTAATTCCTATGAAGCACCATTGCGGAATCAGGAGGAATTACCTTTGATAGCAACTGAAATGGTGTTGTTTTCTCCAACGAGGTAGCCGCAGGGCAGCAGTTCAGGCGTCTCCGCACTGTTCGTGCGTTTGATTTCCCCAATGCTATAGCCCAGAACACTGTCTGAATTCAGTCCCAGCTGACTCACTGGATCCACGTGAATGATATACTCCTACAGTGAAAAAGGCATAGGGAAATTTAGGCAATATTGCAACCTTTGTGCCCGAGGGTGCTTTGCTGCAATAGCAATAAACCCTTTGAGAGTTAAGCTTTGCTTGCTCACACGCTGAGTGTCTGTAAGAGGCAAGGCTGTCTCAGAGGAACAGCACGCAGTGCTTCTTAGACRCACACCCAAACTCACAGTAGAATATATACCAGAGCTCCTGCATAAGTGTCCGACGGTCAAATAAGCTGGGAACACTGAACAGGAGCATCCAACCTTACAGCAGACGGCACTGGTTTACCTTGAACAACCGCCTAACGACGCCGTCCAGGACATCCCATTTGGTCTTGCCACTGACACCGATGCAGCCGATGAGGAAAGCGCGGGGCCTGGCGTCCTGAGTGCAAACCAGCACAAATGGAATGTGATGTGACAATCATTCGTGGCATACTCAGCTTTCTATGACTTCTCTATCAAATAGGTTACACCAATATGCTACACCATAAAATTTTGTCCTGTTTACTTGTAGAAATGATGCTATAGACAGAAATGCAGTGAAATTATTWAAAAAATCTACAATTTACTATATTTAGTATATCGCTTATAGTTTACAATTTGGTTTCTGAGTTCTAAGGCAGAGATGAAAAAAACAGAGTCCAATTCACTCATCCATTCCCTTATAACTGTACTGCTATGAAACATTCACCAAAGAAAAACTGATTTCCTCTCATAAGACTTCAGGTGCAATGCCACAGAAGAAAACATTTTCTTATTCAGAAAACGCGGCAACTTTACAGACTGAATATACCATGCAGTCCAACAGAATTAGCAAAACAGTCACAGGTTGCCTACCTAGGGCTGTCATTTATTAATGCAAAAAATATTATTTAATGCAAAGAAGAATTTTATTTCTGAATTTTATTTCTAGTCAAGTTTTTGTCATCTCTTTACTATATATATATATATATATATACACACACACGCTGGGTATCAAATTATTCCATATATGCACTTTTATTACAGAACAGGTACTCACAACGTGAGATAACCAGGTTCATACATGGCAAAGAAGGTGCAGTAGATTCATGCATATATTACAGATGTGGAGTGGATTTCAGCATACAATATTTGAAATGGATATGGGTGTTTATGATTCTTTAAACTACTGGATAATGGAGAACATGTGAAAGGGGGCAGTGCCAAAACACGATGCTTGCATGTGCGAGGACACTATGAACTAGAACAATAAGCTGCAGGTCTCCCAGTSTGGACCTGTCAGCTCTTGGGGATGAAATGTGCTCCTAACATTTCCAGGTTGCCTTGCCTATCACTAGTGGCAACTTATTTTGAAAAGTTTCTTTTTTAAAATGTTTTGCAAATAACCCCCTGCAAAACAGACTGGAATGTGGCAGAGAATTCAAATCCAGAGTCGCTCATGTCTGGGGATGAAACGCAACTCACCTCCTTCCATTTCATTTCATCCTGAAAGTTGACCACTATTTTAACATGCCGGCCACCTTCTTTCCGTGCCGAGCCATCGCCTGGGTCATCTAGCAGCATGTCTGAGAACAGAAATCATCAATGCACACTTGAAAACAGTGAAGGCTGTGCTGGCTTAGACTCATACTTCTAACTGTGGTCAAACAAAATACACCTGGGCTTCTTATGCCCAGAGGTAAAACATGAGAACCAAGTTTACTAACTTCCCTACCAATCACGAAAATTACTCTTAAAAAGGGAAGCCCACTGAAAATTATTAGTCAGTCTGTATTTTCCTTCCTACCAAATAAAACACCTCTCTGGCAAACGTGCACCATTAAACAGCTCTGAACACAGCTCTCTGCAGCTGAGCTCATAATTGGACAGCCACGCGCTGGGTGGAGCAGACCTCTGATRACACTGGAAGAGAAGGCTTTTTGTCAGCCCTTGACATATTTCCACACCTCGGCTGCTAGTAATTCTCCTGCTTTCATTTATCCGTGCATAACTAACCAAACTGAATCTTCCAAGCACAGGATAAAACCTGCCCACCGCCTTGCTCGTTAACTCACCGAGACTGGTTGACTCCGTGAGGTTCAAGCTGTGTTGAGAGAGACCCACTGAATGTCTTGGGGAGGATGAAATGGAAACCTGAGACTGAGCCCTGCTACAGCTGCCGTGRTTTTCAGATTTCAGCCGATCATTTTCTGCTTTCAGTTTTTCAATCTCACTCTTTAAAAGACAATTCAGTAGTCAGGAGGCACAGTGAAAACATRCGCTTAAAAGGCAGTAACAAAAGTAACTGAGAAAAGAACTAGTTTARTAGAAATGCAATTTTCATAATACTTTCATCTATTTTATTAAAGTAATGTTCTTTAATTATTCTAGCATCCCTGACACAGAACTTTGTTCAAAGTATCCTACAAAACATAAATACATGGGAATTTGCTGAACACAGAAAAGCAGCCACTATAAGATAGAGCATGACAACAGTTTGAGAGACTAGTCAATCAAATGGCCTCTCCATGGGTTTCCCAGGCTGAAATTACTGTGGCTGCAGAGTTCAGGGAGGCAAAATTAATTCCATTGTACTTTTAAGTGAACATTGCACATAAAATTGCAAGAAAGCAAAATGGGACTTTGGACAAGCAGTCAAAAACTTCAGAATTAGTTTAAAAACTGGACAGGGGGTGACCACTGTAATCACCCTGTAATATCTGGGGCGGTTATTTCCTACCTGCATTCTGTTCATGGCCTCCCGAAGCTGGTCGAGCTGATGAGCAGAGCTGAGGGCTTCCAGACGAATATCAGTCAACTTCATCTCTTTGTCTCTCAGCTCATTGCGTAGCTGCATGACTGTTTCAGCTTCACTGTCTGTGCATTCAGAAATACTGCAGAAGATTAAAAAATAGGCATGAAATTAAACTACGTGTTAATTTTCATATCGTTCCACTGGCATTTATTAGCGAAAGTGAAAAAACAGCCTCTCATTCTGCAGGAAGGAGGCAACAGGTCTGGTTTACTGCATGAATGATAACACAAATCATGTGTTAAATAACTCGTGGAAAAATTAGGGACTAGTCAAACAGATATGTTTGAAGATAATCTTTCTTCAATCAGCATATGAAAGAGAATTCTGAAAATCACCTACTATTGGATACTGCTTTTTTTTTTTTTTCATGGTAGTTGCCACAAAGGAAATATTTTCAAGTCAAAATCTAAGTAAGGTAAGGGGGTGCAGCAGTAGCAGCAGTCAGCTGCAGATTGATGAGTTTAAGGAAAGATTTAAAGCTCACCAGGTGTACGCAGCTGGGCTTCCCTGAAATACTCTGCAGGGCTTTGCAACTCTACACCTACTCAAGCATGATGAATTCCTGCRCACTTGAAAGCACTCATGCTTAAAAAGAAAATAAAAATCTGTGGTGTCCTTCTTTCTCTCCTCCTCCCAAGAAAGATTCTGGGTGAGTAACAGTTCAGCATAAGAGTTGGTGTATCTGTACAAAGATCAAGCATGCAGCTGCATGCTTTGAGGGAGATTTCATTTAAAATGTTGCTCCCTACATGAGGGTAATCAGAAATGTTTTCCCCACCAAAAAGCCAGTAAGCCAAAACACACACTCCATCCTTCCCTCGCTTCATGCATTTGCTCTTTCCTTAGTATGTGTTTAGGCTTATTGCTTTCCAGAGTCATGTCGAGACGAGATGCACGCACACTGCATCCAGACTGCTGGTAGACAGGACCATCATTTGCAAATTGTCTGGCTTGGTGGCTCTAAAGCATGACTTCTTGCCTTCACAAGAAACTCCCTGAGTTAGGATCATGAGACCGGAAAATCTTGATAAAATTCACAGGAGATTATCCTCCAGTACTAACACTGCACCACTATTACTGAGCTGGAAGCACTGCTATTGCTTTTATGCCTTCRTATGGAAAGAAGTGATGGGCAAAAATGCAAGTTTGGGTCCTTACTGAAATGGATTTGATTTGCAATCAGGTTCTAAGATCTGTACAACACTTACAAGTCCATAAGGCTGTCTGATAACCACGTTTGTCAGTGCTATCATGACAACTTTCTGTATTGATCCTACTGAAGTGAAGAAAAAGGCAAAAGTGATGGAAAATCTGTTTTACAGATTTTTCCAAGAATGCTATAAATGTGAACTTAGACTCAGTGGTGCTCCAAGGCAATTGTTCAGTTTCATTTCATAGGTGGCCGAAAGGAAACATCAAGATCATGTGTGATTTTCCCATTAATGCAAAGTGAGAAAAGCAACAAAGGGTGAAATCTTGACTTTAAAGCCTATATTTCATTCTCCTACAAACACAAGCAGATAGGTATGTTTTGGTCATACAGATGAGGCCATCTAATGCCTTGCTGCTACCAAAAGGAGCAATTTTTTTCTCTCTCCTCATTGCTCAGCCTTTTCCCGGCAGTGCTTTCATGCCCTGCTGTCACCCCTGGAACTGAGCCAAAGGAACTCACTAACCCGGGAAAAAAATATTCACATTTGTGTCATATTACTTTCCAAATAATTTAGCCTGTTGAATTGGCTCAGTGGAATTGACTGAGATGAAGCAAGCGGAGGATCAGGCAGTGGCAGCAATGAGGTATGTAAGGAAAGAGGAGAAGACTCTCCGTTCATCAGACCCAACGTGTTAGATCAGTTCAGCTCCATTGCTAAACTGTAATGTTTGATTCCCAGGAAATTCTTACCTTATCTGAATCTGTCTACTTAACAAGGAACTCATCGCAGCAGATTAGTACAAGCAGTGCTCTCTTCAGCCAGCAGAGAAAACAAAATCCCAGACTTAACCTCATTTGTTTGACTACTTAATAACAAGAGATCTAATTATCACTGCCCTCTAAGGTCACCCAGGCTATAAATATTTTTCCCTAGAGAACATGTTCTGCTGAGAGAACACCCCAATGAAATATTAAATTATGCTATGATAAAGCTGCAGTGATTTTTGGCTTCCTAGCAATGCTAAGGCACTGGATAGGGAACCAGCTTATGCACAAATTCAACTTCCCTATCTTTTGCCTGTGATCTATGCAGACTATGACAGAGCCAGAGTGGACAGCAGTATCTTTGCTTATTGTTGAGGATTTTATCAGATACGACGCACTCAACAGAACAAGGCTTCTGTCTGAGACATAAGGGAAACATCCCTTGGAAGCAGGATCAAAGCAGGGGCAACAGAGCAGCTCTGGTCTGCAGGCCAATCTTTTCTGGGGCACTTTGTTATCTACTCATAGCGAGCAACTGCTTTTGGTAATGCAGGTAGTTGAATAGCTGTCAAACTCTTGAACTGCTTATACATATTTACAGATTCTCATACAGAATCCATTTAGTTCTGGAAAGTGGCCTGCAGGGTCCTGCAAAATTAGGACTTGGTACTTGCAAATCACTTCCTACAAAAGAAAATAAAAAGCCACTTACAGAGAATTGGAATGAGAAGCTCTCAGCAGAGGGGTTGAAACGGTCGAGTTGTGGTGTGGTAGCTTGGGTGAGGAGGGTAATGAAGAATCGGTCATCTCCTCAATATCTGAATGAGAAGATGCTGACTTGGGAGATTTTTTTTTACCAAAAGCTTGCTTGAAGGAGCTGCGTAGCTGAAAGAAAACACCACCACAACAGCGGAGACATCATTAAAAGCGAAAACAGACAACAAAAACACGGAGTAAAATCTCTAACATGCAAATAATGCAAATGATACAGCCATACGCACTTTTTAACAGGAGTAAAAGAAAATCAAAACAAAGGTCTTTTGTTCCCTAAACTATTTAATGAGATTAATATGGTAAATTTGAAATAGGGCTGGATATCAACGCCTCCTATTTTTAAGACAGCTATTTTATAACAAACATACAATTTAGTTCAGTGCAGTGGGTTTTACAGCGATGTTGCAACTTGCAGCTCTACCGTATCATGGCTCAGACCAGGTTAATGATGCTGAAAGGGTTAGTCACGTAAATGGGTGGGTTAGCTTTGTATTTCATACTTTAAAGTAGGTCTTCCTTACCTCATTGACCTGCCGGAAGAAGCGCAAGCAAAAGGGAAGAGGAGGGGGAAGGAAAAAAGACATGTTTTAACAGATAAAGCCAATGACTAGGAAAGCTTTGGATTTCTAAGACAAACATGACCAATAATCACCAAATGCCAMGAGAATTTTAGAACTAGCCCTACCTATTCTAGAAATGGGTGGTCCAAACACTCATTCATTTTTACGCTGCTCGGGGGAGATGAGATCCAGATCTCTTAACTATTTAAACTATATTTCTCCATAAAAAAATCTTWGGCTAACAAACAAGATAATATTTTATTCTTTGCTGGAAAGGGTATTTTACTAGCAAAAGACATGGAACCTTCTCTACTAATCTGCAATTAAAAAGTCCTTTTTAACAAGAATTTATGAAACAAGCAGAAAGCTGAATATTAATGTGACTAAACTGATGTTATCCTGAAGCTGCAGCTMAGCACTGCTTATCACTATTATAGACTACATGTTGCAAAGAGTCTGGTTTAATATGAGCTGAAAGCCTTTTTTAATTAGGCTAAGATTGCTGTGGTAAGAAATGTTGAAACTTTTGTTTTAGCTGCATGGTCAGCTTCATTGTTTCTGCATATAATGAAAAGAGTTTGGCTGAGTGTCACTAGTAACTGTGAAATAAATGTGTGAGGCAAACACAACTTTCCCATTTTCTCAATAAAATCCTCATTTAGCTTCCTCATTTTACAAYGTAGTGCTCATATTCAATAGAATACAAACTATGGTCCCGTTTCTTCCACTTTTTAAAATCAATTCTCCTTTATAATTATTTTTCTTTATAGTATTTACTCCTCTTTACTATAAAGAAAAATTTCCTTAACTTCCCTTTAAAATAATCCTGTATTGAATGAAAAATRTAAGCTGTTGTAGGATGAGATGGACTAGATTACAATAACAAAGAATATAAGCTAAAACACTTTTTTTTTTTTCAAAGTGGTATGTTTATCTTAACTAAGGCTTAATGATTCCCAAAAATTTATCTCACAGAAAGAGAGTGACTCACTAGCAATTTACAAGTTACAGCAATTTTCCTTGTCTGTAATTAACATATAAATCAGCATGACAAGGATTTGGAGCTGACATTGTTTCCATTTAAACAATGATTTTAGGGGCAGAGGAGAAATACTACTGCTATAAAGGAGCTAGCAACATATTGAAGTGAAACTAGTGGAATACAAAGAATTTAAATAAAATCCTACTCAAGAAACTGTGTCTTATTGTTCAGGACRAAAGTTTCAAAGAGGATCACATGCAAATACCAATCAAACTTTCCCCAGCTCAGATATCACTTTGCAGCACAACAGATTTATTTGTAAACTCAAACGATCTAAGAAGATTTAAATTCAATGGGAAGGAAGGGGTGGAGTGATTTGCTGGCTACAGTACAGGAACTAAGGACTTTGATCCAAACTACAATCAGACTAAGGTCACTAAGGCAGTTATGGTCTAATTCAATGTGGAGTTTAATAGGATGTACCTTTCCTCCAGTACAGGGTACCTTGTACACAGTAAATGATGAGCAAAGAAGGAAAAATTGGAAATGAAAGGTAAGTATTGCAAAACCTTGTGGAATAAATGTCTAACACAGT